CGGGTCTCTTGGAGTCCTATCACATCACAGTCGGTCGCGGCACAGATCTGCATGACCGTCATCACGTTGTGGCCGATGGGGTTCCTGCCGCTGTAGGCGAGCGTGCGTACGTTGAACGTGCCGAACGATAAATCGCCCTCCCGTGCCTTCTTCTTCGCGGTCGCCTTCACGCCCGCTGCGATCTCCTGTCGCTCTCGGTCCGCCTCGCGCTGGGGGGGTGTTTTCTTCCGTTTAATCCGAGCGGCGAGTTTCTTCGCATCGATCCATCTTTGCAGGGCTCGGTGCTTGCCTGTGGTGTTTGGACGAGGAGGGTGCAGCACTCCCCCCCCGCGTCGCCCGCGTTTATCTCCCTTCTCCCGCGAACGGTGCTTACTCGCGTGGTTTTTACGAATCTCTCTGCTCCTCCAGCTTCGTGGGCCACGTTTTCCGCGACGGTGGTTACCAGGTGCAGTTTGCCGCTTTGCATTGCTGCTGCGGGGACAAGGTCCACATACACCTCTCGCCACTACCACCGTCTGTGCATCCTCACCGCCACGCTGAGCCAGCGCGGCGGTGAGTTGCACCTTGGGACACCACCCACCTACTATCTGTTGTGGCCTGGTTCGCCCGCGAGGGACTCACAAGGTCGATTTCGGCCCCGGCCAGGGAGCAGGCCGGGGAGGGGAGGAGGTGTATATTGCGGTGGTCCACAGTCAGTCTTTGTTGTTGTTGTTGTCTTCACAATAAAAACCGTTCCGATCTCTCTCTACCCAGTACCTTCGTATGTCCGTACTGATACAACAGTCTGGAAGGAGAAAAAAAAGTATCGTACACACAACAACCTCATGAGGTACATACTTCAGCAATTAAGAGCTGGTGAGATGTGCTCTGCTTTCGAGCACTGTCTTTTGCCTTACCTTGGTCATTGGTGATCGGCGAAAGTTTGAGGCATGTTTCACTCATTGTTAACAGGGCTGTATCCTAAGTCGTCGACTTTCGTGCATGACTCTGTACCAACCGTGGACGTGCATCCTTCCCGTCGTGGGTGCGGCGGTACTTTCGACCAGTGGGGGGGGCACAACTGGGGGTGATGATGTAATGATGAGGGAGAGGTGGTTCGGTTGTTCGCGCACGGGTTGCAGGAAAGGAAGAATCCGGAGGCTCGTTGGCTGGAGGCAGGAGGGTTTGGGGGAGGGGGGGGAAGATCTACGAATGAGACATACAACAACGGACGAGTTCTCACAAGCTGACAAAAGCACTAGCACGAAACTCGCAGGAGGGGTCCATCGGGCCAGGAGGGACACCTCTTCTAACCCACACGAAAATCTGTCGTTGCAATCTCGAGAAACATCGACCGACGAAAAACAACTTGCTTTTAGAGAAGAGACCGGAGATCGCTTTCTCAAACCAGGTAAAATGCAGAGAGTGGGGTCACTTTTTGGTCGAGGTCAAGAAGTTGGGGTCGTTTTCGAATATAGGTTCTGAGAATATCGGCGACAGAAACTGAATCCTTGTCGAGCTTCAGAATTTTCCCATGTGTGTGCTGCGATGGTCGTCGGCGTGGGAATATGATGACCCCCCCTGCCCACCCTCGGGCCCCGATATATGCAGCAACTGACTGCTTGAACACGGAACATGGACTACACCTACACCTCTTCATCAGGGCTGCTCTGTGCTGTACTGCCATGACGGGTGCACAAGACGACTCCATCGACCAGCGACAATTACTCTCCTATGGATATCACAACGACGTCTGCGACCACAAAGCGAAAAAGGAAGAAGGCCTTGGCGTGGAAGAAAGTTCGGGAGGCATGTTGTCTTCGCCAAGATGCCGAAGTCGCACAGCAGCACGTACATCAGCATACGACCGTGCAAAGCATACCTGCTGTACCAGTAGTCTATACCTCGAAGTACATAGAAGGAGGGAGGATGTGCTCAGTAGTTGCATGCCGAAACATGGGATTAACGGATAGTCTGGGGTCGGAATCCAGGTACGGAAGATGTACAGAAGACTAATACGACGGCTGCTACAGACGTTGGTTTTAGGAACGGTACACAAGACCTTGGTGCCCCCGGTGACGATGGCTGTCTTGCCCTCCAGCGACCACCGAGCTCGCCGTTCCGCACCGAATGTCGTAACCTGGAACCTCTCCTGGGACAACGGAGAACCCCAGACGCTCACGACCGCGCTCAGAGCGAGGACGAGCACTTGAATCATCCGACCGCTACAGAGAAGCATGCTGCTGCTCTATGCTCGTATGTAGGTAGAATTGCTGTAAGTTCAACCGCCTTTTTGGAACAGAGCATCCTGTGTATCTGGACATGATGAGAGATCTCCGAAAATATGGGAGTTCCATTGAGAGAGAAAGGCTTGCTTCAAGATCAAGGCGACGAGAGCAAGCGCACGGTGTCATCACACACTCTGACAGATCGCCGAAGCAACTACAGCACAGGTACCGAGGCGATCCCGTGCTGTCCCTGCGTCATGAAGTGTATGTAACACCCTTCATGTTTTCGTCTTCCATAATAAAAGATAACTCACGCGAGACCCTTCATGTTTTCGTCTTCCATAATAAAATAACTCACGCGAGACAAGCTTCCTTTTGTACCAAAGATAAATGTCTACCATGTGGAGCCACACACCGATTTTTGAGAAACGCAATATTTGGAAAGGTAATGTGGAGGGGCCGTGGCGCAATGGCAACGCGTCAGATTCCAGTCCTGAAGATTGGGAGTTCGAATCTCCCCGGCCTCATCTTTTTCCCCAGATTCCCTCGAGGCATCCAGTCCACGTCTGTCATTCCCTCTGGTCGCCACCTGGGTACCATGAAAACTCCGACATGAAAATTGGTGGAACGTCATGGAATGCATGTGTTTGTTTTTCTGTTGTTTTGCCGAGTTTTTTGCGTCTCAAAGTTTTGCGCTTCATCGTTTAATCCACCACGTCCAACACCATTCATTCATTTTCGTGACAATAGTGTGTGTTGATAAGTTGTTTCTTCTGTGCGTGTCTTACATCTTCCCCACTCGAAGCCCTCATGTATCCGGTCCTCTCGTGCTCAACGTTTTGCGTTTCATCGTTTCATTCACTCACGTCCAACAACACCATACATTTTCGTATGTTGATAAGTTGGGGTTTTTGTGCGTGTGCTACATCTTCCCCACTCTACAGCCTTTATGCATCCGGTCCTCTCGTGCAGTGTTGTGTTGAGGAGGACCCGATTCGCAGGGTATCCGTCGGTTGACGTTTACCTGAATCGGTACACCTTCGCACATACATGGCGTCAGCTGGATAGTCTAGACTACTGGTTCGAAACTCCTTGCGTGCACACTTTTTCTCGTGACTTAGATATTTCTCCAAGGGCACAATGTGTGTCAGTCCTGAGAACACCTCTTGGAGTCGATCCTGCAAAGAACCTTGTGACACTTCCATCGAATTACCCATCGTGGCCACAAGAGGTTCCCAGTTGAGGGTAAATTCTGTGGGTGGAGAGTGTTAAGGGGGAACCGCCAATCGATGTTACGGTTCGCAATCGGGACAGTGTAAAGGGAATAGAATGGTCTGGAAACCCCCCTGTTTTTTTTTTTTATTTTTCCAAATACAACACAACGAGTCCATCTCCGTCAGAGAAAAGAGTCAAA